AGATGAGGGAATGGACTTCGGATCTGCAATGTAGAAATGGTGATATGTCACCCATGATGCTTTCTAGAACCTAGAACTTCATGTAGTTATGGTATTAACTTTAATTTTGACTTGTGGAAGATTCTGGTTTGCAGTTACGCATTCTCTCAAACTGGCTTGAACTTGTTCAAATTTGTGTAAAGATTGAGTTTGATTAGATTGGCCTTGTGATGGTGTGGCTAAGAGATTCATAGGATAGGTGATAGGATTATTCTTTTCTGGTTGTGTTTGGATATTATTAGGTATATGGGAAAAAGGGAGGACATTCCACACAAACACAAACCTAAACTTTACTGTTTAAAGAATACTCTTTGATTCATTAGTGGTAACAGATAAGGTTATGGTCCTTATGGGCCCGCCTTTATACAGGTCTATTATAGAAGTTGGGGGAAATTTTAGTAAGAAAGAACTCGATGGAGATTTTTGTTTGTGTGAGTGGGGGACAAGGAGTATGTCACTTTAATACACACAATTATCTCGAGCCATTATGCTTTTGTGGTTGCGGTCTCTCTGAACCCCCTTTTTTTCTTGTTTGATTAACAAACAAGGCAAAAGAAAAGTATATGTTTTAATGAATGACTGGATGGGGCTCTTTGTTTGCAACTTGGTACAAATGGTGATAAATTGTGAAGGCCATCTGTGGGGTCAAAACAAATGCTCATCTTTCTTTGTTTCAGCATATCCTCTAACTTGGAACATTTTTCTTTTCTTTTGTTAGAGTTATTTTTCATTTTGGTTATGTGACCTATAGATATATAGTCGACTTTAAAATCTCATTAAAATATCTATCTAGTCTCAAGAGTATCAGAAAATGTTAAGGAATAAAACCCTTCTATACAATTCTGGTGCTTGATTTCTATGCACTCTCTTCACCTGAGAAGAGAGAGTAAGTGGAAGAAGTTGCAGAAGACAAAGTGGAAGAAGAGGAGGTGTAGTGGAACTCGATCTGCAAACGCTGGTGGAGAGGTAAAGTAGAAACTGTCCCCTTTTTCTCTTCCTCCTCAAGCTCCCCAAGTGGTATGGCAGCAAGAAATCTTTTAATGAACTGTCGGCAACACTCTTTTCCACTGCAAATTTCTTCTAGGCTTTCCTCCTTGTTACTCTCAGACCCTGCAATGTCCTCTGAGCCAGCCTCTGCTTTCTCTGCTTTCCCATACATGACGCTCGAATCGTCGAATTTTAGTATGTATGCCTGGTTACACCCCTCAAACAGCCTCTCACCCAAAGAATCCATGATATAGTAAGCATCAGCTTCAACCTTCAGCACAAAAAAATGGTCGTTCCAGCTCACTATGTATATCCTTGGTTTGTCTAACATGGTGTTTCTATTGATCTCATCCCATATCTCGTCGAACGACATGAGTCCCTTCAAGCACTTGAACTTCTCAGGGCTGAAGAATCCGATGAAAGACTTGTCAGGCAAGACGTCGAGAGGTCTAACATCAGCTTCCAAAACTGTTTCCAGGTCGAAGTGTTTGTTGGGAAATAAGTTTATGTAAGTTTCGTTGCTGCAGAGTTTTTGCCACTCTGTGGAACCTTCTGTTATGAGGCTGTCGAATTTGGATCTTGTAGGCATCGAGTCTTGGTTTGAATGCAGCCAGTGGGCGATGACTGCAACTAGTGCCGTGCAGGCACTCTCTCCGGCCGCCTTTTCGCTCCGTTGATCGAAAGAAGCAAAGAACACATTGGTTTTGAGCTTTGCCAGCCCATCTCTGCTGAATACTTCCTTTAATTCCCATCTACTCGTGATGCAATCTCCATGTTGGTGGTTTGAAGAATATTCAACAGTAGTATCTGATTTCTGGAGAAAAAGAAAATCCACATGCATGAGCATCATTTGGGAACATCCTTTTGTCTCATAAAGAATTATGGTAAGAAGCATTGATGTTTAGCAAAGCTTGAAGGATTCATATTTACTCATTACGTTTTTTTGTTTGGTCAATATATTTACTCATTATGTTGTTGACTACTTTTTAAATAGAGGTGACTTTATGTAAGTTGGTCTAACCTCTATTAAAACTACAATCACCAAAGTGATAGTAAATGGAGAAAAGCTTCAACATATACTTCCTTGTGACGTGACAGGTTATGTGGCAAATATCATCCAACTATTTTTAACTAAGATTTTTTAACACATGACATATTTTAACTGGACAACACATGTCATTCAACTTGTCACGTGACAGAAAAGTCTCTACCACAAAAATAATCATCGAGCAGATGTGGTCCAAATAGCAAGAATTCCATGTCATTGTCCTAACCCCAACTTTGAACTAATAAAAGGTTACATACCTGTATAGAATCTCCGAGATTGTTGTTAGCAGAAATTTGAAGTGCATTGGCCTTGCTAGTCTTCTTAACAAAGGGCTCCACTTCTCTTCTCCTTGGTGGTTTGCCACTCAACCACTTTCGCTTCCTCAAGAACCAACTCTTCTGGCCCGAGTCAAACTGAATCAAATAACTCGGGGACAATCCCAACTCGGGCTTTGAACTCAACTCTGCACTGACACCATTCGAGCTGAGTTCAATTTCTGGTGACGACCCTTCTGAGTCGGACAGGGATGACTGGTCCCAGTCACTATAAGTCATGACTCGGTCCCCATGACCCTTTCTCTCATTGTTGCTTGTCTTTCTAAACCTCCTAGCGTAGCTTACACCTCGAAGCAACCTGTCCTTGTCTGAATCGGCCGAGTCTTGACCGAGTCCTGCCGAGTCATGTGAGTTTCTGACCTCAGAAAAGCTTAGACAAACCTGCATAAGGCACCATCAATCAGACATTGAAAAGCCGTAAGCTTACAATGAAAAAAAAACGAGACCATTAATTTAATTACTACAAACTTGTCTTTTCTTTTTATTTGGGAGCTAAAGCTGAGACTTAGTAAAACTAAGATCCTATCAAGATTTGTTTACATTAACTAGTACATTGATCCCACCGTTCCACAACATGAACAATGAAAAAGGACTTGTATTTTAGCAGAATGCAATATTTTCACTACAATATTTTATAAAATTATTTTTATTTTTATTTAAAACAAATGATATTGGGGAGGGAACCCCATGTGCAGAGTAAGTAACTGCTCGTAACCACCGGAGTTACAAGTCCCTTGCCCTGAAAACATTCTGAATCATGAACACAAAAATTGAAGAAAATAAATATGCTGGGTATTAATATTATTGCCTAATTAGGATGAGAGTGACCTAACAAAAATTCTCTTTACCTTAAATGGGAAATAAAATAGCTAAGCATGGTCTTAATTTCCAATTAAAGCGGCTCATACAATTAATTTACAGTTGAGCAAATGCAACTTTGTACAGGTAAAAATGACACATGACCAAAAACTGAAAACACCATAAATGATAAATCTTGTCTGTATCCTTAATTTGCCATTAATGTACTCTTGAAGCTAATTACCAAAAACAAACAAAAATGAGAAAGAAATTAATAGTAAATAAATAATGAACTTAATTACCAAAAGGGTAGCTTCTCTGGGGTTCATCCCTTCCATTTTCAAAGTGACAGAGAGCTTCCTCTGAATCTGAGACTCCATCTTCGAAGCCATTTCTGCTAAATTCAACGAAACCTTCCCCAGAACCACCATACTCTGTAATTTTGCACTCTCTCCCTAAAGTTCACATTTAAAAAATTATTATTATACTTTCAATTTCAAACATTCAACAATTACACAAAATGCTTAATCTTTAAAAATTAAAATTAAAAAAAAAAAACCATGAAGGATAAGAATTTAAACTTACATGTAACAAAGTGAGAGTCAAATCCCAGGGGCTAAAGGCACCACCTTGCTTCAACCCAAAACTACAGAGGCTCTGAAATTCATCATCCCATTCAACGACCTCATGACCTCTGCTCAGAAACCTATGGCTGGTGTAATTCTTCTGGTGCCGTGAAGATCTTCTGCCATAGAATGGAACCAGAGCTCCAGCCCCTCCAGCCTGAGACCCTTTCCATTTCACCTCAACCACCACACCAACCCTCTGCTTCTCATCCCCCACCACCTTTCCATTGTAGTCAAACCCTTCAAGCTTTAACTGGTTGACCTTGACATGGAACCTCTTTGTTCCCCCACGTGTCCATGGCGACCACTTCATCTTCTTCAATCCCTTTTTCCTTTTTCTGTGAAGAAACCAAAATGTGTTTGCAGAGGAAATTAATAAAAGAGAGGGGAGAGGAGGGTATTGGCTCTGTTTTTATTTGAATGTACCGAAAGGTCTTTTCTTTATTCGGTAGAAAATCAAAAAAGTGTGCAGAGAATTAATGGGGTTGAGAGAGGAAATGAATAAAACAGAGGGGAGATGATATTCTGAGCAGTTGTAATGTATCGGAGGTCTTTCTTTATTGAGTCGTAAAAGAAGTGAGATGACAGCTATGGTTTTCTAAAGCTTTTTGTATGCATGGCCAAGTCTCTATGCGAAAGGAAAGTCCAGCGCCTCCAAACGCCCGTGTTTAATGTAACTCCGTGTGCGCTCGCCATTACTTTACACGTTTTCGGAGAGAAGAGAACACACCATTTTCGGGACATGCACGTGACTGTCACGTGAGTTGACATTATCTGGCAACTGTTTGTTGGTTGGTTGGGTTTTAGGTGCGTACATACAGTACGCAGGGGATTGGAGCTTGGGTGTTGACGCGTCAACGCGGACACGCGGACAGCTTGCACACGTGGATTTTTTGTTGGATAAGTTAGATTAGATGGAGGAGTTTGGAGGAATGGATTTAAGCGTGTACTGCGTCAATGGGCCAATGGCATTGCGTAGAATGAACGACTTTCTAAGAAGAGGGTTTGCTATTGGCTTATCTATTCTTTTGTTTATGTCATTCTAAGATTTTAGACCATATTGTACTTTCAGATGTGACGGGGCAACATCTGCGTGGATGACGGGGCAGCGATTTGGTACCCATCAAGTGGACTTTAGCCCAGGGCTAATTTGAACAAGAAAAAAATTAGTGTTAGTTTTACCTAAGCCCAATTAAAAAAAGCCAACCCCAACTGTGAGATTTCATCTCTACAGCGACTTACACACAACAAAAACGAAACAATGCCATGCATAGATGTAAAATGGGTTGATAGATTTCAGACCAATTAACCTCATAAAATGGGTCGATTTAAAGTATACAAATTATGGCCCAAATTAGATCCTTGTTTTTTGGGTAAATATCATGAGGTGTTCCCACATCTAAAGGGTGAAATTAATCCTCGTTCGGGGTTCGGCTTGTTTCTGGCCACAAAGTGCTTCTAACGGGTTTCGAACCCCTGCCATTAAAGCACCAGGCAACTCGCTAGCTAGAGGTGACAGTTTACCAACCGCACCACACCTTGTAGTTAGATCATTTTTGCTTCTTCTCTTTTTCCCTTTAATATTTATTTCTCTCTTTTGAGGCATTGCTAATGGAAGTGCATCACCAAATCATCATGCCTAGATCACTTCTTATTGTACTAGGTTTGACATTGCAAATGTAAATGGAAACATAGACCTGACAATTAAATAATAAATACATAAAAATTAGTGAAAGATTGGCTCTATTAGAGATCAGCTGTCCAATCACATAAAGATGAGCTGAGATTTCATCCTCCAAAGTCCATGAGTTGCTTTCGGCACTTCACTTAAATATTAATGGCTGCATGCATTGTCATACCAACTTCAACTCCACTAAATGCCTGAGGCTCTACAAATAAGCTGTGTAGTAGTTTGGATCAATTGATCTTTCAAAAAACGTCATGAGTCGAGTACTTTAGTTAGCATCCGTACAGTATGTATGAGTTTAATATTATCGCCTCTCTAAATAAAAAAAGTTCTCAACCATAAAATTAAAATAAAATAAAATAAAACCCTTGAGTCTCTTTTTAAATAGTAAGTGGGCTTAAGCTGGGCTTGAGGGAACAGCCATTTTCATTTGGGCCAGCTATGTTTTCTTCCCCCGATTTATTAGGGAGTGCCCTTTTTTTTTTTTTTTTAAGGGTAGGAATATTGATAATCGACCAAAGGAAATATTCTAACTTATGTGTTGAGTGTCTCTAGACACTCAACTTCATAACTGACTTAGGTATCTCGACACAATTTTGGGTATCAATAGAATCACCATATTCAAAATATCAAGGGTGTACTATACATCTTCGACATAGACAAGAAAGTCTTAATATGTAATTGATTGCATACTCTTTTGTGTTTACAAATACACTCTGTCACGTGATGATGTAGACATAAAAAAAGATGTAATCGGGTGTATATAAAATTTTATCGACAACCAAGGTCAATAACATGAACCACCCCACTATACAATAATACAACCATGAATGGATTTTTGACATTGAGAGTTTAGCAAAGCTCAACCTTCCACTTTGTTGAAATTGAGAAGGTTTGTATATTACCTAATGCATATTTTATGTGCAACTAATGTGCAAGTTGATGTGTGTTTTTTTCAAATTTGCAAGTTAATATATTTCTACCGAGCAATGTGAAACCCTTGTGTGTTGTGCCTAACACCACGTTTCTCCATATATTATTGATACCGCTTTCAAAGTCATATCTATGTTTTCCTCCTTAAACTTTTTTCTTTAACTATTATTAATGTTTTGTTTTGACTTTAATCTCCTAATTAAGAGCTATCTCACTTATCATTGTGTTATTGGTCGGAAATAGTAAAAAGTGTCATCCCAATTGCATGAGAATTTCTCAACATAATTAGGGGTTATATGATATCATTTTCACACCATTTTGACTGATGTGGTCAATATTGTTAAATAATTTACAAATAGTTCTTCCATGATTATAGAGGCGTGGAAATTTTGAATAGACTTTTTACAGCAAGAAGAAGAAGAATTACTAATCATATATATATGTTACTGTTGATAGTTTGACAGCAAGAGAAAATTACTTGTCTATGATTGAATGACTTGTGAGAAGGTGATGTTTTGTTTTAATTTGAATTGTTTGTGGCCCTACGTAAAACAGTACATAAACTACAACGGGCCATGATGCTTGTGAATTGCGCTCTCAAAATTTGGAAAGAAGAAAAAAAAAACGTAAATTAGACCTCTTTGGAGTTTTTAAATCAAACATAATAGCTATTTTTCTTTTTCTTAAAAAAAAAAAAATATGATTGAGACTTTGAGCATGATCACTGCTAATTCATGAATAATTAAGCTTCTAGAAGAACTCCAAAATATGCTAATGATCACATGTTGGGATCTCCAAAATAAACATATATATATATATACAAAAAGGCATAGTTGATTCACCAAGATATATGTAGTTGGTGTCATTAATTCATTATAAATATTAATATGATTTTACAGCATGTTTGTAATCACAAGTAAGATCTGGAAAATTAATGCCCAGACATGAGACATTATAATATTTAATCTAAATAATCTTATCTGAGATTACCTTTGTTTCCAACGAATGCAAATGGGTGAGATATGAGCCCATGTGACCATCCCATCAAATTCTGATTGTTGTCCCTCTCATTAAAGAAGGGGAGACAATTTGAGGATGTTGTTTGGGAGAAAAGAAAAGAAAAAGTTTATGTTCTTGTGGAATACAGAGATATCAAAACAACGGAATGAGATCAGGTAAATGGAGAATGCACCAAAGGAAATGCAGCCACTATCTTATGTGGGTTAAAGCGAATACAATACCAAAAGAATAAAAAGGAGAGATATACCACCGGATCCAGAAGTACCAAGAAAACAAAAACATATAATGAACTAGTATTGGGAATCAGTTCCATTTCTTGGTCCATTTAAAAACAACCTTTGACGAATCCCGAGTTTATGCACAATTACCCGCATTTCATAAAATTTAGACCATCCAAATAATCCAATGCTTATGGTTAATGCCACATCACCTATAATAAATTTGTTTCCTTTTTATTAAACTTACGCTGTTTACCTGATCTTCCTCTCTCCTCTCAACTCAACTCCCGCACTCATCTTCTCTCTCATGTCTTCTACACCCCATTGCTTTTGTTGACAATACTTTTCTCATCTGTTCAGTATGAACGAATTTTGGCTAGTAATTCCTTTTTTTTTTTCTTTTTTTTTTCCATCAGTACATCATTGTGATTTGTGAAGAAAAAAAAGGCCTTTAATAGCTGCAATATACATCATTAACTTCTAAAGGAGGCAAAGGTGAAGCTTGAATTTGCTGCTCCTGCAGAAGCTGGAGAGAAGAATTATATCCTTTATTTCATATTTGGGATGTGATTCGGGATTAGGTTCTTCAATTGTGCAGATAAATATAAATATAAATATAAATTATATGTATCAGAATTTGAGCATCTTGTCTTGGTGTTCCAACTTAATTCTTCCACCTGTTTTTATGTCTTATATATACTTAACAAAACCAATACAAGCATAGCTGCATAGCTGCATAGCCAGCATATGCATATATAAATAAGTAAAACAAGTTCAACAGCACATGGTTTTGTTCCCACCGCCACACCAGCAGTACAGGCTGTCCAGCTTTGCTGCAATTACGGTTTCCTGTATAAAAAATTGTGGACTCGATTAGCCATTAGGTATCTACAAATGGATAATGAGTAAAATTATTAGAGAGATGAATCTACGTAATAAAAACGAATTTAGGGTTTACTTGTATTGTTGAAAGTTATCTAATGAGATTTGATTAAAAATCACGTAAGTACTTGACGATGCAACTTGAGGACTTGCATATTAGTCATTATGTTGTATATAGATGAATTCCTATTTGCTCTAATCGTCACTAGACGAGTTATCAAGTTAAGCCCTCAACTTATATCCTCAGACCATATGATCATCCATATATGCATCTAATTTGTGACTAAACTCTATGTTAAAGGGAATTTAAACTCGTCAGGTGTAACAAGACAGACACACTATTTCTGATTAATCGATCTGATCCATAACTACGTATATATGAATATAGTTTGATAGTCATGATGTGTAAAAATCTTCAAACTAAATCTTCAACTTAGGTCATCTTTGAATGCTAACACATATACTATACAATTTGGGTAAGGATCACGGGCTCAATTTAGGTCATCTTTTTCTTTTCCTTTGTTGTTTTTGTATTTGGGAAAAAAAGGGTTGTGATACCTTGGCCATTTAAATTTTTGTTTATGATCAAAACATTGTATCTTGATGTTCCACTTGGCATAAAGTAATGCTTCCACTTGGATTGGATATACAAAGAAGAAGTTTTTAGGACCCACCATTGAAATTGAAATTGCTTCAAGTTAAACATCCTGCCTGCCCTAACGGGCAACGAGTCCATTGGCCAGAAACCTTGACCAAATTCGCCTAAGTCCAACTAGGCATTAAATTATCCAACTTTTGCATTCAAGTTGAACTGCAGAAGACTCATCTACCATACGTCATTATGAAAAAATCCCAAAAAGATCCCAACTCTCCATCACCACCACCACCACCAGTATTTTCATGTCTATCTAAATAATAACTAAATAAATAAATAAAGTTCTTACTTAAATAAAAGAAAAATATTTGAAGGTTGAACCACCACCCTTTCTAATTATGTCTTGCATTTCCAGAAGTTGAACAACAACCAAAATAAAATCCAAAATATATCCCTTTTACACAATTGGGAATATTTTATAGGATACAATACATCAAAGCCTGAAGAATTTAAACATCGCAAATTACACTCCATACAGAATCAAATTTTCGGTTAAACCCTCTTTTTCTTCAAATTATTAATTTTTTAATTCACACTGAGTTGACGCTCTAGTTTAAGAGGAGAAAATTTAAAGTTGAAGTATAAAAAAAGGGACATATTACTATAACCAACCGACCTAACTCTCATTTTACGCGGTGTCTCTCAACTCTAGATTGAACACATATAACCAGGTAATAATTTACATTTTAAATTCTTTTTTTTTCTTTTATTTACCCATCCTCTCTTTAGTCTTATAAATTGTTGTAAGTGCTTGATGCAAGAGGAGTGGATCTGTTCTATTCAGCATGTGTTTCGTGAGCAGAATGGTGCTGCTGATGCTTTTTCTTGGTGATATTATGGATGCATGTTAGGGGTGTAGCTAGGCCCCCTTTGGTTTCTGCTTAGTTTGTTTTGTTTGTGACTTTAGCCCTCCTCTGTACCGAAAAAAATATATATAAAAAGAGAGAAAAGGAAGAAGGCGGCTTCTGTAGTAGACATGGGAAATGGGAGAGGGCAAATTGGAAATGAATTAAATAAGGGTTTCTAATGAATTAAACAATTAATTATTGGATCTGTCAATCAACAAAAAGACCTTCTCTTTTGACAGTTTCTCAACCACATTTTAAAAAGAAACAAAGCCTTACCTCAGATCTCTCAAACTTGTGACAGAAGCAGAGAAACAGATTAAGGAAAAAGCCAGAGACCCATGCCGCAAATCCACTACTTGTTTCTGCTACCTCTGTTTCACACCTTCAAAATGAGGAGGTGAGAGCTACCTCTCTCTCTCTCTCTCTCTCTCTCTCTCTCTCTCTCTCTCTCTCTGTGGTTCTGTCCTATTCGTCTAAATACTTCATTAATTGATGTACATGAGACTCTGCTTCTGTATCTGATTCTCTTCACATAATCTGTTTCTCTGCTCACATGCTTTCGTTTCATGGCCAAATGAGAATTACCCTTTGATTATAACGGATAGTTTTCCTCTTTTCTGGCACAAAGTTCGTTTCCTTCTCATTTCATGGCTGAATGGATAATTGCCCATCAATTGACATTGTCAAGTCTCTTACTTTCACACCTTAAGTTCACACCTCAGCTGGGTTTTTGTCAAATTTTGTGTTTTTTTTATGTCCTGAAGCTAGAATTGTCTGAAAATTGCAGCCACCGAGCTTAGCTATGAAAATTTTAGATCTTCTTGCTGTATTCAATGCATTAAAGTAAGACTTAGGGGGCAGTTGGTAGATAAGAAAAGTGTGAATGGAAAATCCATGCTTAAACTGCTGAAGGACTTTCCTCCTATTCACATATGTGTTTTCATCTTGATCCATCCGGGTCAAAGTTCTCTTCTTTGCACCGGCTAGCCAGTTCACTTCAACTCCTGGTACCTCTCACCTCTCTCTCAATTGCAGACAGTTGAAAGTCATTATTTTCTTCTTCACATCCTTGTTTCCTTTATGATTCTTTCTATTGTAAATATGTCTCGTCTCTTCTTTGGTTAGCTGTATTGTTCTTCCGCAGTCGTTTGGTTTTCGAAATCTTGGATAAGTACTGGTTCTTATAGTAGCCATGGGGAATTGGCACTTCTCTCATTTCATGGGATTCATATTTTTGTCTGCTTTTCTCTCTTCCAAAACATGCCTGGCTAGTGTTCGAAAATTTGGCAAGATTACTCCGCCTTTCCAAGGGTCTCAGATGGATTGGATTGATAATAACGGGCTGTTTCTATTATCTAACAGTTCTGAATTTGGTTTTGGCTTCGCTACTACCCAAGATGTCACATTGTTTCTGTTAGTTATTGTCCATATGGACAGTTCGACAGTTGTCTGGACTGCAAATAGGGGGTCTCCGGTTTCAAATTCTGATAAATTTGAGTTCGATGATAAGGGCGGTGTGTTCTTGCAGAAAGATGGAAGTGTGATTTGGTCTGTGGATACTGGTGGTAAAAGTATTTCTGCAATCGAATTGCAGGACTCAGGAAATTTGGTTTTGCTTGGAGATGGCAGTGGGGTAGTTTGGCAAAGTTTTAGCCATCCAACTGATACCCTATTATGGAACCAGGATTTTCTTGATGGAATGAAACTTGTAAGCAATCCTAGCTCCAACAACTTGAGCTATGGTCTTGAAATCAAGTCCGGGGACGTGATTCTTTCTTCAGGTTTCCAAACACCACAGCCTTATTGGTCTATGGCTAAAGAAAACCGTAAAACTATTAACAAAGACGGTGGGGTGGTCACTTCAGCATCTATCAGTGAAAATTCATGGAAGTTCTATGATCGAACCAAAGCGTTGTTGTGGCAATTTATTTTCTCGACTGATACTGATGTAAATGCCACATGGATTGCGGTGTTAGGAAGTGATGGATTTATCACTTTTAACAATCTTCAGAATGGAGGGTCAAGTGGTCCTTCAGGAACAAAAATACCAAGCGATCCTTGCAGCACCCCGGAACCTTGTGATGCATATTTTGAATGTTACAGTGACAACAAGTGCCAGTGCCCTTCAGGTCTCAGCTCCCGTCCAAATTGCAAGGCGGGGATTGTCTCCTCATGTGATAGTTCAAAGGGTTCTACAGAACTTGTAAATGCCGGGAATGGGCTCTATTATTTTGCACTGGGATTCCTTCCACCCTCTTCAAAAACTGATTTGAACAGTTGCCAAACGTCTTGCCTTGGCAACTGTTCATGTGTTGCTTTGTTCTTCCAAAACAGTACAAGAGATTGCTTTTTGTTTGACAGGATAGGTAGCTTCCAAAATTCAGACAAGGGATCTAGCTTTGTTTCTTACATTAAGGTCTTGAAAGATGGAGGCAGTGGTACTGGGGCGAGCAGCAGCAACAAGAAACGCTTCCCGTATATTGTGGTCATAGCCGTCTCGACAATACTTGTTATTTGTGGCTTACTTTATGCTGGATATCGATACTACAGGAGGAAGAGAAAATCCCCAGAATCTCCTGTTGAGACTTCAGAAGAGGACAATTTCTTTGAAAATTTGACTGGGATGCCCATCCGTTTCAGTTACAAAGATCTTCAAACTGCAACTGATAACTTCTCGGTGAAGCTTGGGCAAGGAGGTTTTGGCTCAGTTTACCAAGGCATTCTCCCAGATGGAACTCGAGTGGCTGTGAAGAAATTGGAAGGCATTGGTCAGGGAAAGAAAGAGTTTCGAGCTGAAGTTAGCATCATTGGCAGTATCCATCACCTGCACTTGGTCCGGCTCAGGGGCTTCTGTGCAGAAGCAAGCTATCGACTTCTTGTTTATGATTTCATGGCAAATGGATCTCTGGATAAATGGATCTTCAAGAAAAACAATGGAGAATTCCTGTTGGATTGGGAGACAAGATTCAATATAGCATTGGGTACGGCTAAAGGACTAGCTTATCTCCACGAAGATTGCGATTCGAAGATTGTTCACTGTGACATAAAGCCTGAAAACGTTCTGCTTGACAATAATTACCTTGCCAAAGTCTCAGATTTTGGTTTGGCAAAGCTAATGACCAGGGAGCAGAGCCATGTTTTCACAACACTAAGAGGAACTCGAGGGTACCTTGCACCAGAGTGGATCACCAACTATGCCATATCAGAGAAGAGTGATGTGTATAGCTATGGAATGCTGCTGCTAGAGATCGTCGGTGGGAGAAAAAACTACGACCCGACAGAGACTTCTGAAAAATCGCATTTTCCATCGTATGCCTTCAAGATGTTGGAAGAAGGCAAACTGAAGGACATCCTTGATAGGAGGCTAGGGAACGATGAAGCGGATGAGAGGGTACACACAGCCATTAAGGTTGCTCTGTGGTGCATACAAGAAGATATGTCTTCGAGGCCATCAATGACCAAGGTTGTCCAAATGCTTGAAGGCCTCTTTCCTGTTCCTCAGCCTCCAGCTGCCAACTCGATGGGTTCTCGCCTTTTTTCGAATTTCTTCAAATCGAGCAGCGAGGAGGGAACTTCCTCAGGACCATCCGACTGCAACAGTGATGCCTACCTTTCTGCAGTGCGCCTTTCGGGCCCAAGATAACATTTACTCAAGATGAGAGACGATCCTGAGGCACTAACGGGTGTTGGCTAAACCATGTATACATTGCTCATCTCCCATATTTCTGTATATTTCTACCGTTACTCAAATTTTGTAACATTAGCCATTACTTTCTAAGCTTAATCACTTTCCTGTTTCTTAGCTCCTGTTTTTCTTCTGTAAATAAAGCGTTCGATATAGTTTAGTGTTGCAAAATAAAGAGATATTACAAAGCTTGCAATCCCCATTCATCTTTCAAGATGCTCAAGTTAAAGGTGCATGTTTTAAGACCCAAAACAACCTCTCTTCAAAAAAAAACACCCAAAACAACGTACTCAGAAACAAAGGTTGGCTTTTAAAGAATCTAATGCTTTGTGGTGTTTAAGAGTACATTGATCCCCTGGACTCGACCGCAGGGGATGAGGTCCCTTTCCAACATAAAAATCTCTCTTCTTCAAAAGCGCACAAACCCATTTCTTAACTACCTCCACCGTCCGTTACAGATGGCATCAACTATCTCCCCCGTCTCCCTTATCTCCTCCACTACATCTTCCTCCACATTCCCATTAAAATTCAATTTTCCCGCCAAATCCCCCTCAACGGTCAATTTTCGCGCCAACCCTCTCACCGCCGCCAACGCCGCCGCTTCAGGTAAAAGCAACCAAAACCCTAATGAAACACGGATTAGATTAGGTGTTGACTGTGTTGGGTTGCTTAGAACAATGGAAGGAAGCTGAATTGTACTATTTGATGCACCAATTATTTAAAATCACAGGAAAAGATCGCGTCTTGGGAAGAAGAGGACTGGTATTTACACTTACAACCACACTGCCATTGCTTCTTCCTTTCTCTGAATGCATAGAGGCCTTTGCTGCGAAGGCGGTAGAGTGAGTTAAACAAAATCTTCAATCTTTTCAATTTTGTGGGTATTAATATGTGTAAAGTAATTACTGGGTTTTTTCTGTGACATTTGAAAGGTCGGATATAAGTGAATATGAGCTTGTGAAGGAGGAAATTAGGAAGGTGGTGACCAAGGGTAAGGCTGCTGGTGTGCTTCGTTTGGTGTTTCATGATGCAGGGACCTTTCAAGTTGATGAGAATTCAGGTATCTATATTTGTATGCATTAGCCATTGCTTTTATTCATTTTCATGGCCGCATTGGCCTTTCCAATTGAAGCAATATCAACTGGAATTGGGATTCATATACGAATGGTTCAGATTTGTTGCATTGCACAATCAATTGCCAACCACTGACATGTGTTCCTTTGAAATATAGATATTGTCTGAAGTTCATTCATGTTGTTATTGCAGGTGGTATGAATGGTTCTGTCATTTACGAACTTGATAGACCAGAAAATAAAGGTCTTAAAAGTCCTTTCAAGGCATGCCCTCTCTCTCTCTTATATGTTTATCTGTTCTTTGGTTTCCATCGAATTCCCAATTTCTTAATTTGTTGAACAAAGATATCGATTAAATAAAAGTCATTTAAACGATGTTCTACCAGCTAACTTCTCAGTGGATTAAATTGTTGGTTAGATTCTAGAGAAAGCAAAGAGTGAGGTGGATACAGTACAACCAGGTTTCTATCTTCTGAAATACTGTTTGACTAGGTTTCTGTATTAATGGTTGTTTTAGTGCTGTGCTAACTTTTGGATGTTTCCAAAATTAGTGTCTTGGGCAGACATGATTTCTGTGGCTGGAGCTGAAGCAGTTTCAATATGTGGAGGTCCAACAATCCAAGTTTCGTTGGGCAGACTAGATTCAAAGTAAGTTGCATCAATGGAAAAACAACCTCATGCTTGAATCCTCAATATTTCAGTTGCCAAGTATTATTAATGCCACTAGAAATACTATAAAGAACAAGAAAAAAGTAGAGTTAGTGGAAAGAAAACTCTAAGTCTTGTTTCTCTGCAGCATTAATATGGAGCATCAATCTAATCCTACCGAAAATTGATAATTCCAATTTTTAGAAATGACATTGTGAATAGCTACTTATCTCATTCTCTCGTCTTTTTGTTTTAGGGAGCCTGATCCTGAAGGAAAACTTCCTGCAGAATCTCTGGATGCCTTTGCTCTGAGGCAAAGCTTTCAAACAAAAGGCTTTTCGTGAGTTCATATATGCTAAAAGATACCTTTTTCAATTTGTATGTTCTAGATGTATATTTTTCCTTTTTGTAAGTAAAGCACTGGGAAAAAGTTTATCATCCCAGGCTCTGCTTGGTACAGGTTTAAACTAAAACGTGACTGTTTTGTTTTTGCAGAACTCAAGAACTTGTTGCTCTGTCAGGAGCTCATACCATTGGAAATAAAGGTTTCGGAAGTCCAACAGTTTTTGACAATACATACTTCAAAATTCTGCTTGAGAAACCATCTTCCGGTAAATAGCAGTGACATGGATAATCTGCATATTAAAATAGGCTTAAAGAAAAACCCCGCACTCACTTAAGCTCGCCCCTCTTGGGGAGTTCATGTTACAAACGTACAACATGAGATAATAACAGAAAAAAAAAAAAGGAACGTAATGGAGTAATCATGTTCTATTATTTGAGTAATTGCTTTTTCATAAGAGTGAACTTCCAATTTTTGTTTGATCTTCAATCAGATTTTTTATTTTATTTATTTTCATGCACAAGTACGATTTAATCAATTTGCTTGATTAATATGGTCCCTCTTTTTCCTTTTTTTCCCCCCAATGAATGCATGCTTTTATGCGATCCATGATAAAGGGAAAACATCATTGCGACTTATCTATACACCTTTAAAAATTCATGACTTTGTATACATTTATTTTCTCCCCTTGTGAAAGTTTCCTTTTCTTTGCTGTGCGGTTACCGACTCTATTCTTTGCATGCAGGTAGTATGATTGGGCTTCCTTCAGATCGTGCACTTGCCAAGGATGGTGAATGCTTAAGGTCTAGTTTCTTTCAAAAACTTTCAGCTGTCCTTTTTTCTGCTCTTCCATATGTTGATAAGCATTTAAGCCAGCCAAACCAGTTATTTAAACAAGTATTGAAATGAATTTAATTCGGCTGGAAGACTTTGAAATAAATAGTGAATATCTCTTTAAACAGTAGTTATGCAAGACAAATCTAATTTAGGATAAATCAATCCACTATTCCTTCACATTTGTTGAGATAATGATCATCACATGTTTTTTTCTTTTGTAGAAAGAAAATGCAAGGGTTTTAAGTCCGTATTTAGTAATCTGGATTTGGAAATGAAATGAAAATTTGTCACGTTGCCTTGAGCTAGCCAACTAATTTAGTTACTTTGACTTACATATTTCTCATATATATATGTCTGATTATCTGATATGTTTATGCTTTAGTAATCAGAAAGTTATTAGATATTACCTAATCCAAGCAAGCAAAACGCATACGTTTTCGGTATACCCGAGTATTCATTTGCATTGTAGGTATCAACTTTCATTTTTATGTTACATGTAGTATGTGTTTCGTATTCATATCCGACTGAAGAGAAGCTTATTTCGTGTACAGATGGATCACAAAGTATGCTGAGGACCAGGACGTTTTCTTTGAAGATTTCAAGAAGGCTTATGTCAAACTAGTGAATTCAGGAGCCAGGTGGAAGAGCTTGTGAAATAATTGCAGAAGCAACATAATGCCTATCATGCAGAAATGGAACACAGTACAGATCAAGAAGTGATGAATATTGGGCAATCAGAACCTCATATAAACTGTTCAAAGCGTAAGCGGGCTCGGGCCTGCTGAGGGTAGGTTGGGCTTGAGCTGCCAGCATTAATCAAATGATTAGCTGACAGGTAAGGAAGGTGACCCCAGGCAAGACTTTATATTGCATAATTAACATGTCATCAAATAATTCAGGTACGACCTTGATGTACAATCAGTAAAATGTTTACTTGGTTTAGGCGCTTGAAGCACAAAAAGAATGAATTTTTGGACCAGAAGTGTAGCTGTATGATGTGAGAAGGTCTAGGTTATAGAGCAAATCATAAGAAAGTGACCCATCAAGTTCAAGATAATCTCTCTAATGGTGGGGACTCCCATTCTCAGCTGTGCTGTGTCACTGATTTTAGTAGTTTCCAAATTACAATTAATAGCATGTGGATTCAGAGTCAAACTTCTGGGCCTGAGCAACTGCAAGTCAGCAAGGCCCCAAAGGTTGTTTTCTGGGTACCAAAAACACAGACCCACTTCCCTAATTCCTCGTCGAAGATGCGGCCCATTTCCTCACAAGGTATATTATCTATTTGAACCACATTTATCGATCACATAAGTTCGCGCAAACGAGCTGAAAAGAAAGATGAGGGGCATCAGTGCAAATAATAATAATAATAATAATAATAATAATATGCAGTTAAGTTCTGAGCCAAAAACATATGTCCAAAGGTATGCTTTGTCTTCTCCTTGTGGGTCAAGCAACTCTTAAGGGTCCTAATTTTTGGCTTGGATCCAAACTTATCCATATAATATGACATCCATGTATAAAGCAGAATTAGATGCTGAAACTAAATGGACGTCTCAACTCAACTCCGCTTTCTGCTTTTAATTCATATTGTAATTTGACCAGTTCTCGTCTCTGTGGTCGCCATAGGGTTGTCGCTGGTGGGAACCATAGAGCAGCATCTGCCAAGAAAATAACATTTTTTTTAAAAAGCATATGAAACTTTCGAAAAAATTAAAAGACATTATATTACTACATAAATAAGAAAAATGTTAATTATGTTACGAATATATCCCACATTGGAAAACGAAAGCTTTGCATTAGTGCTTAAAAGATCTCGAGCCTCTCGATTTTATTTTTATTTTTTCCCTGTACAAAACCAAATCGTATAAGGACAGTCCAGAGGGTCCCTGTGTTGATGTCTGCATAATTGTATGCTCTGTGGCCTGTAGGTTTTGTTTTGATTGGTTCTGTTCAGTGTATCTTTCTGTAATGAAAATAATGAAAACCCTTATCTTTTAATCATTTACTTAAACACTAGTTTTTTTAAATTATTTATTTATGGATTTCTCTAATTTAAATTTTCATCACGTGTCTCATGTCTGAAACCAACTTATATTTAAGCAAATATCTGCATAGGAATCTATATTGTTTAGTTAATTTAAACCAAAGAGATCGTAATCAACTAACTTTCAAAATAATGTTTGTACAAATACTCGTGCAGAAAGAAATGTGTGTATAAGATTTGGGTATAAGCACATGCGCTAGATTAGTATTTCACAGTTGTTGTCCCAAAAAGGACATTAAATTATGGGTGGCACCTTTAAGCCTTAACCACAACCCAGACTAATCTCCACTCACACCGGGTCGGCCCGTAAGGGGTAAAGTGCTGGCCAAAGTGGTGACTCCATATGAGAGCAGGGATCGAACCCCTGACATCTCTTAAGGAATGAGAGTGCTGAACCACTCACACCAACCACCTTGGTTTACATTAAACTGTTTTCATTTTTCTGTTTTCCATTTTCTCTTTAAAACAATCAAATGAACATTAAATTAGCCAATAGAGTCTAGTCCAATAGAAAATGGCATTGACTTACAGATAAGAGATTTCAAGTTAGAATTCCCATGACATCGTAATTATGTGTGTGTGAGTGTGAAATCCCCTTCTCAAAGGGATAGAGGGGGTTTCAAACCCTTTCAGGCAAAGGAATTAACACTTAGAAAACTTCAACCCTAGCTTCTAATTAAGTTGTTACAATACTGAAAAATTATATCACTTATTTATTTAAATTTTAATATGTTGTAAAACAATACCAATGGGAGTGATTGGGGGGGCCAAGAAGAATTAATGTAAAAGAAGACATTGTTGGGCCACAAGAATTCCTGACCAGTGGTTCGTTCACCTGGGTGAGACCAAGTCCAGAAGTATTTCCAAAGTCAGCAAAGGTTTTCTTTTGTTTTGTGTAGAAAATAGGTTCCATATTTACATTCCGGTCTTTTTCAATCACATTCTAAGAAAATAAGGAAAAGTTTTCTTTAATGTGAATGATGATGATGAATGAATGAGAACTATTATTTTTCAGCAATACAAGTTTCATATAAGATGTATATTCTTACACGAAACTACAGATTATACCTAAGAATAAGAAGTCTTTTAGTATAGAAAGAGGTTTTCAAATCAAAACTAGCTCTTTGTAAGTTGCAATCGTTTAAGGCACCATCACAATTTGATTGGAACCCAAGACCAAAGAATTCCCACTTCGACAATAGAAAATTTTACTTGGGACCAATCATATCATGCAGTTTTAGTGTTGACTGACAGAACAATCCAGTTAAAAGATGACATGTGTCTAAATTTAACAATCAAGTTTTTTTTTCTCAAACGCAAGTCATTTTTTAATTGGAATGTTTGACTACTCAACATGTCACATGACAAAAATAGACCCGCGCATCTCGTCTACAAAACATCATGAAAATGTAGAATGCAAGTGTAATTAGGTGCAATGGCATGATACACCCTTGTTCTTGATGACTGCAAAATACAAAAGCATATATAGTAAAAAAATTGGGGTTACAGAGAGAAAGGGCAGAGTGGAGGAGATAAGCACAAACCAAAATTATGTGTGGGTTTTCTAAGTCAATCATCTCATGCCTACCTAATACAAGGAGAAGAAGAGTCCTTTATGTTTATGACTAATTGACCCCTGTGCAGAGCCAATGAGGATTTAGTGGGGCACGGACCACACGTGCAAATGATATAGAATGTCGTGGAGAGGAGAGTTATAGCCACAAAGGGGGCATACATTGCCAGCTCCCATGCACCTCTGCTTCCTCGTGTCTCCTCCATATAACCTAGAACGATGTCGTTTTCGACAGAGGCATGCTATGAGGGCAAACTGTTTGATAAAAGTCCTACGAGAACGAGAGGCTAATAAAGAGGCAGAGAGGGGCAAGTGGCGAGGATTGGAGCCCCCACCATATTTGTTGCTTGATGAGCATCTGAATGGTGTGTGATATATTTAGTAAATTAATCATGACATACACACACGCCTATAATTTCTCGATCATATTCTTATATATCTTTTGACTTTGTGATGATCTACCAAAATATATCTGACTCTCAAACTAATTGCTTTCGCATTACAATTTGGTCTACATCTTGCCCCCCAATAAATAAATAAATTTTGTTGTTGTTGCTGTGATAAGATTACAAGAAATTATGACATGGTTCAATTTTCTCTTTGGAAATGGACATAGTCAGAGTTAGTAGTGATAACATATATTAATTTGGTACATACGCACTGTGGTGTACAAGGTTGACGAGGAAGACTCCGTTTGGATCAAATCTTATCTTTCCAGCCAACTTGACTTTAAAGGTAAAACATCCAATTAAGCAAAAGCAAATTGTTTAGTTTGAATTTAAGAAAGAACTGTCAAATCCAATCTGTTCCTTAAACTATATCCTTATTTAAAGTACATTAAAAGCACAGCAAGTTACAAACAAGAAGAAAAGTCTACTTCGGTCTTGAGAATGCTTTGCTAAAAACAAGTGGTGGTTTGAATTGTAGTAGGTCCTAGTTTGTTTGCCTAATTTCTCCCCTCTTTTGCTTTTCCTAAACCCTTTTTATAATCTTAAAATCCGGTTTAGATTATTACTATTATGTGTTCATAAAGCAATACGAGATTGTTACTCTAATATGCCATATCGTTAATTTGTAATTTAAATCATTATTGAGTGAGAATATCTTTTTTGGCGATAATCTAAACTATAAAGAGGGAGATTCGAACTTGGGTATTATAGGGTTAGGGTATATGTTATAGTCATTGTAGCAATGTCAATTAGAGTTGTTTGACGGAATCGGAATATTGTTCATCATAAAGAGAGAGATCCTTTCACCTGAGCCTTGAAAAGATAAAATAACCCACCTCTATTTTTTAAAAAATTTCTTTTTGCATTAAATAATTTGGCTATTGTTACTCTAATATGCCATATCGTTAATTTGTAATTCAAATCATTATTAAGTGAGAATATCTTTTTTGGCGATAATCTAAACTATAAATTCATCTAATCTATAAAAAGGGAGATTCGAACTTGGGTATTATAGGGTTAGGCTATATGTTATAGTCATTGTAGCAATGTCAATTAGAGTTGTTTGACGGAATCGGAATATTGTTCATCATAAAGAGAGAAATCCTTTCACCTGAGCCTTGAAAAGATAAAATAACCCACCTCTATTTTTTTTTAAATTTCTTTTTGCATTAAATAATTTGGCTCTAGTCGGTTACATACAATCGGATGGCATGGTGGCCACTAGCCCGAAAAGAAGGTGTCGGTTGCATGCAGCTCCTTACTTTACACACCCGACAACTCAGCTGAATTGGTCGGTTTGTCACGACCTCATCCCCTCACCTCACCCCTCCTCTTCTTCCCACTCTTATCTTTCTTATCACTCAAGAAAATTTTAGTTCGGAAAGGAGTTTTTCTCGTCAAGTCATACGAAAGTAGAGGCACAACTTCACAAGTGTAACATTTTGAGATACTATTTTAAAGTGTAAAATAGTAAGTTATAACTGAGAGATTGCTTGATGAGCAAATTTGTATTGCTAAATTGCAAATAAGATAACTCGTTCTAAAGTACAATCTTTATCGATTAAGATTTTCTTATAGCATGGCTTACAATTTGAAAAAATATGACAAACTTTTGAAATATTTCTCTTGTTTTTATTTTTGGGGAATGCAAGCTACTTTTTTCCCGTCATATTTTCTTTCAAAATTCTCAATTTCACTCTCTATTTTGGCATGTTGATAGAAATGGTTCAATTCTCGCAAAAAATAACCAAATCAGTGTTTAGCCATTTGATTAATAGTGTGATAATTCAAAACACTAAGATTGTCTCTTTATTGTATGACAATTACATGATTAAATAATTTCTGATTTGAGGACTTTTTTAAGATGACATTTAAAGTGTGACTTAGAAGATAGACAGTTTTGATCATCAAATCACATTATTACACGATCATAATGAGATCGGAGAATGTAGAAAGGATATGTAGTTGAGTAGGTTTTCAGTGTGACGGTGTTACTAATTAACTCATATTATCACACGTGTATGTATTTATTATTTCTATACCTCGAGTTCATGCAATATAAAATGTTGTCCACCCATATTACAACGTGTTGATTAATTTCTCCATGCAAGTGTGACCTAATATACTACAAAACTTATTTATGTAGCTAGTATTTCCCTATATTTTTTTCCTTATATTTTTGAAGAAAAAAAAAATGGAAAATAGACAAAAATGTAAATAATATATATATATTTTTTGTTTCGTTCTTCCATATAGAGAGTAAAATATTGATTTTCTAGTGGAGAAACACTGAAATTGATAACAACTGAAAGAAAAAAAAAGTCATTGTCCCCACAAAATCCACAGAATGAGAACGAGGTGATGATTTCTAAATTTGTTTAGGAAATAAAGATTTTAGATCTGCAAAATGCATTTTATCACATAATTGGCAAGAAGAGTGGAACAAAACTAATTTCCATAATTGCACTTTCCATATGATTGGTAAGAGAAAGTGATAGAAGAGAAGAGACACATTTCCACCACAGAAAGTAAAGTAAGAAATCAGAAACCTTTGCTATGATCTGAAAACAAAATAACCAACGAAAGGGAAATATGAATCATCATTTTTAGTAAATTAGGTACCCTCTACCTTCAAATTTATTTTTTGAAAGAGGAGTTTTTTTTAAACAATACATCAATTGTGAATATGAGTGAAACCTGAAATATCAAAATCAAAACTATATTCATTCAACACATAAAATTTTATGGATATAAGTTAGCTTCCTCAATTCCTAGCTAGTTAAATATTTCCTCTTTTTTTTCTTCTTCTAATATAAGGGGTAGTTTAAACTACAAGGGGAAGGGGGATTCACACACACGCATTACTAAGGTGCCATGGAGGTTCTAACATGAGACCTCTAGTATGCAAATCAATGCCCTTTTCTACTACATTAGACCCCATTAGTTGGTATTTCTTTTTCTTCATTTTTTTTAGTATAAGCGATAATCTAAACTACAGAAGATGGGGATTTCTCACATCCACACAACCAAGATGTCATGGGGATTTGAATTTGAAATCTCTTGTATGCAAGACAATGCCATTTCTCACTGGGCTAGATCATATTGGCTCATATTTCTTCTTCTAATGACGAAAGAGTTCGATTTTCCACCTATGTTCAGAAAAATTATATTAATATTTAATAAATATTTCTTCAAATTCTAGAAGTATTGATGGAAAGTGGGGGTTGGTTACTTGGTAAGTAGGTGGTTACTTAACCTTAAAACTGTATTTGTCCGAAAACCGTAAAACCGTAAAACCGTGTATGGTATTCGTAGCCGTATATGGGATGTATTTGGTTGGGGCAGAGACAGAGTGACCTGACCTGACCTGGATTTGGTTTTTAAATCCCAATCGTATAAACGCGCACACACACAAACCTCTCCCTCCGAGTCGTAACTCAGTCCGTGTCTTCTCTCACTCACTCAACTCACATATAATTTCATTTCTTTTTCCATTTTCCATATTTCAAAAGCTTCAACTCGCTCTTTCAAATTTCAAATCCACAAGGATTTTTATTATTATTATTCGCATTTTCTTTCTTAAACCCGAAAAAAATGAAAAGGAAAAATCAAAGCTCCGACTTTTGAATCCGAAAAGATCCTCCCTTTTCTGGGTTCGGATCCTCCGATCCGCTTCAGCCGTCGTCACTGTCGTACCCTCGCTCTCCGGCGCTCAGATCCTTGAACCCATCTCTCCGGTCCGGCCCGAGCTAATGGAGTTTTGATTGTTTCACGCTTATCGAGGTGAGTGGAAACTGTTGAGCTTGTTTTACATTGTCAGTCCGTTTGGGTGCCGAGAAAATGAGCGGAAAATGTGAGGGAACTATTGAATCGTGTGCCTTTTGTGTTGTTTCCGGCTTCAAGATTGAGTTTTGAGCTCTCGGGATAGCTAAATTTTCGATTTTTATTGTTTTTCCACTTTCTCAGTAACCGTACGGATCGTTGGTTTCTGTTACTAATTATTTGTTGCATGTTTATGTTAGATCAATGTAAAATGACAGATTTTTGTTCCTGGAAATGCGCTTGTGTTTTGTGGTTGATGTGGATTCTATTATATTGTATATGTATTTATTTATTTATTTATTTTTCAATTTTAAATCTTGGTGCATTTTGATAAAACGAAGGATAGAGGTGAACAGATTCATTTTGGTTCTGTTTCTTCTACTGATTTCTGATTGAAATCATTTTGGAATTTCCTTCAATTGATTGATGCCTAAGGGCAGCGAGTATATGAATACTTTGTTTGGTTGCTGGTAAATTGGAGGAAAATAATTAACAGTTTGATGGGGCAATATATGCAAATCCTTAATTCGAGTTCATATTTTACAGTCCGGGATGTCTTGTAACTCCTCTATGGATAACAGTTTTAAACATATGGTAATTTCTTGTCCTAGCATGCAGGAATGTTTATGACCCATGACCTATATTCAGCTGTTTATGGTTTAAAAATGATAATGTCTTTTTTGTTTTTGTAGTTTCCTGTGTGTCATGGATTCGGATAATTTGGTAGCCACCTATGGGCTTGAGGTGGCTCATCAAAATGGTGTTCATGGGCAACCTGGTGTTGTTTCAGACAACATAAATGGGACTGTCAGCGAAACTACTACAACCGAGACTGCAGCTCCAAATGGGAAAATCGAAAATGTCGTTAAGTTGGATGATGGTGTGACTAATAACTCATCTACTGGGGAAGCCAAAGAGGAATCCACTGTCAACCCTGAAAGAAATGGTTTGACTATTGCTTTGACTATTGCTAAGGTAGGGAATGCTGGATTTTGGTTGGCTGGTTTTAGTAATTATATGACTCTAGACCTGATTGCAATGCCAATTTCTGTGTTTGTGATGCAGGAAGGGGAAGTGAAAGGCTCTCTTCATTCAAAGCAAACCAAAGTGCAGAAAGGTCAAGGTAAGAGCAAGAATGAGAAGCCTTCTGGTCCCAAGAATGTCTCGCCAGTTTGGGTGAAGAAAAGTAAAGATGGAAATGATGGAGAGGTGACAGCTTCTGTCTCAAATGGTTCAGCTGCTCCAACTTCACGCCCAAAACAGCCTAACAAGACTAGATCATTTAATGGGCGACAGGTTCAGTCATCCAATGTAAAAGTCGATAATTACCCTTGATTTCTTTCCCTCACAGCTTGCCCAATATTTGGATACAACTTTTTTGTTGTTTGGTTTTTTTTATATATCTTTGTGCTTGTTGATCATTGTATCTAATCTCTATCTTATTGCAGCAGCAACTTGAGAAATCCGATACAGAATTGTCTGAAGGCACCGTGTGAGTACTGCTTGTGCTTATGCTCTATTTCTTCGTCTCTACCTAATGCCTTATATTTTATTGTCTCTTCGTAATTTTTGGTGATCAGTTTGAGTTGAGATGTTTAAATTGGCAACCATCTCTATTGACTTCTTAACTTAGCTATTTGTTTATTGTGATTTTCCTTTTACAGGGAGAAGACAAAGCTGAAGCCTTTGAAAAAAGACTCCCTTAATAAGGCTGAAGGAGATTCACAATCCTCTTTGTATCCTTATCATTTTAAACATTTATTGTCTTCCAAAGCTGTTGGTCTTCCTACATTTTCTGTCTAGATTTTCGTTATTGTTTTATCATTTATCCTTAACTGCTGCTTAGAAGTCCTACAGAAGGAGACATGAAACCGCCCAGGGTCAGTACACTTCCAAACTACGGTTTCAGTTTTAGGTGTGATGAACGAGCTGAGAAAAGGAGAGAGGTTAGCTTTTAGCGTTTGTATCTTCTGCTCTTTTTATGCTGTGCCCTCCACCGTTATTTCTGTTATCAATGTAATGTTTACAATTACATTTGGCAGTTCTACACTAAACTCGAGGAAAAGATACATGCAAAGGAGATGGAGAAGAATAATTTGCAAGCCAAGTCTAAGGTGGTATTCAATCAATGTTTAACGATAACATGCTCGTGCAACCTGATGTTAATTTGAAATTATTCCATTCTTTTACAGGAAACTCTAGAAGCTGAGATTAGGATGCTCAGGAAGAAACTGACTTTTAAAGCAACTCCAATGCCAAGCTTCTATCAGGAGCCTCCACCTCCTAAGGTGGAGCTAAAGAAGGTATTCTATTTCTTTTTAAAATCACAAATGGCATAGTGCATTTTCTTTTGTTCATGTGTAAGTGGCAGTCTTCTGGTGAATTTGATTTGGTTGCCATAGTTTGGAGAATTCATTTTTCAATCATGTATAGATTAGTTGCAGGGTGTGCAAATATATTATTTGAGAAAGTTCTGAATGGTGATTCGTAATGCAAGCATGTTCTTCAGTTTTACTCTCTGACCATGTCCCTGTTGGACTCATGCTGGTTGCATTGCTAGTTTTCTTAGATTATAGTTGTCTTAAGTGCATTGGTATGGATTCCTTTGGTAGATATGAACAGAATGCATCTATTATTACTTAAACTTTTAAGTTCATACCTCCTTCATCCTTGGCAATTTGCAAATGTTAACCATGCCAATCCTACAAGTTGTCAATCACTCAATCATAACACATCATCTTACCCCATTCAATTTGCTGGTGGGAACTGGTCATATCTGGTTTTTGTTAACAAGTTTCTTTGTACCCAATACTGCACCGAGCCATTACCGTTTTCATTTTGATAGTCGACTGGTATATAAAGAAGTACGTGTGCGGAAATGGATTCTCAGTTCTTTTTTAACCTCTTTGCAATGAGAAAAAGGAATCCGTGTCAGGTTTCTTGACTAATATAAAATCTGAATATGAATTCCTACGAATGTTTAGATTATATAGTTCCTATGCTTCATCTGAGGGTTTCTCTAATGGGTTCCTATAGGCCTACTATTGGTTAAAGCGAGCATGACATCATGATAATCCTGCTTCACTGTACTTTGCTGTTATTTGACAGCATTGAGGGTTAATTTATTTATTGGATATGGGATTGTTAGTGAAGTTTGTTTTGGCCTTGAATTCTTTGTTGCAATGGATGCAGATACCAACAACAAGGGCCAAGTCTCCCAAGCTCGGCCGTAGAAAGAGCTTACCTCCCGCAGTTTCTGAAGGAAACAGTAGTACCAATGATCGATCAAGCAGGCTTAGTCTGGATGAGAAAGTTCCTCAGAACTCTGCTAAAGGGCCTTCTCCTGTGCATCCAAAGAAGCCACAACGGAAGTCTCTTCCTAGACTGCCGTCTGAAAAGACCACTTTACCTAATGCAGGGAATGAGCGAAAAATTACTTCTAAGGCAACAAAGGAGGAAAAAAACAACTTAATTGATGCAACGAATGAGGAGAATGCCACCTTGCCCAATGCAAAAAGTGAAGCTGGATCTGACACCCAAGAGCAGGAGGCAGTTCCGAAGGCTGAGACAAGTGAAGCACAGCCCCATACGGATGACGAGACAGTGGTTGAAGAGCAACATGATCCCATCTATGTTCAAGAAGAACCTACAGCCTTGGAGCATTGAGTACAAAGTATGGACAAAACTGGATGCACCAGAGAGAGCCCTCAAAAGACTCCGTTTATGAAAATAAGAAAGGTATTATACCTGAATCAATTCGACGAAGAAGGCATGAAGAATTTTGCATTATAGTTTTGTGATGTCTGTCTTGTCTGTAGTCAGCAGCATGGTTGTTGTTGTGTGCTTGCTTGCTTTCAAGGTTGCTGGTCTTGTCATTGGAATTCTGCACTCCAGTTTTCCGCACTGTATGTAACTATGTGCCAGGTTGTTTTGTCTAATTTATATGTTTAAGCATTGCATTAGTTGGCCAGATAATTGGGAAGAAGACTTGGGGAAAATTTTGGAAACTTTTGTTAGATAGTTCGTGCTTGGAAATATATCCTGTTTAAGCTGTCTTGTTGAACAATTGGGAATTGTGGAATCAATCAAGGCTGATTTTGTGTTGTAAATATCCTGAACTATTTGCTTTCTTATGTTACTTCAACTCCAAGCAGGGTAATTTCGAAGTTAGATGGCTTCGAATTCGAGCCATGATTTGTGCAATTTATGAGAAAACCAAGATGGAGCTAGTTTTATAGGTCTACAAGAAGCCAAACAGTTTACTTTTTGCTTAAGTGTTGGAAAAAAGAAAACCACAAGGCGATACCGGAGTCTTTTGTGGCCTTGGTCTCTATGTATCCGGAAGACACCCTTTCCTATATTAGAGAAAAGTGGCTGACATTAAATGAAGGGGACGCCGAAATGGGCCGGGTCATCATTTGGGCATGGATAACCAGGTCTCTTGCAGTTTTCCTGCATTTTCTTCAGTTTCTCTGTTTTCATTGATTTATCCAGTTTATCCTATGCAATTTCTTTCAATTTTTCTTTACTTTGTTCCACTTACTTGCAATTTACAACAGCCTTCCGGCCATTGATTGACTAATAGGGTATCATCAAAAGCTTTTGAAGAGAGAGCTGATTTGCTTTGGAATGGAGATATGAACATGAAATCAATCCAAGCAAACAGTGAATGTGAAACCCAATCCTCTTCTTTAACTTGATTCAGAAGATAACAGCATAACCTTTTTTGGAGTAAATGATTGGCTGCTCATATACATTTTTAAACACTTTAATAAATATACTGATCATAAATCCCCAAAAAAATAAATAAATAAATAATCTTGATAGTGGTATTCTATGATTAACATGAACAGGCTGTCTGCTATGTGGCAACAAAAAAAAAATCAAATGCAAAAAGCAAAATTGTCTTCCAATTTCCAAATTAATAAAACAATTTCCAGGACTAGCATTAATTCAAGCTTTTAGAGAAGTGGTTCTCAAGCATTTGGCACAAACTCTTATTAGTGGTTATCACTTGCCACCACCATTACCACCACCATCATATTCTAGCAAGGCTCCACTTTCCATGAAAGCGTGTTTTGCTTGTGTGAACAAGACAAGACAGCAATCATAGAGACAAGAATAATTAGGGCAACCACCATTATAGAGAGGCAAATGTGAACTAGATCAAGCCCGCCATCATCAAGATATACAAACAATCTTGTTGAAGGTGCCTTTAACTAAAGGTCATGGGCCAGAAAAAAAAAAAAGAAAAAAAAAGTTGACTTCCCACTTTCTCTTTGACCTTTATTTCTATCTCCACAGTTTCCCTTAGAAAAGTTTTATTTGGGCCTTCAAACCTCCGCAGAAAAACTTGTATTGAATTGGGGTAACACTATTTTGTTATTCTCAACCAATTACAAACTGCCACGTGAAAAATTTATCACGCATAACAGCCGAAAATAGCGAAATAATATTATCCCCGTTTCAGACGTGTTTCTCCTTCCAAGGACTATTGCCACAAAGGCGGAATCTATGGTCATCATTTTGAAATGTCCAAAATTAATATGCCAAGGAAGCTTCGCAGAAAGCGAGCTCACATAATTTGGCACACGTTAACAGCTTCCACAGTATCAAGAATTGCTTACATCATTTTTGCATCTTTGGAGCGGAACGAAAATGACTAAAGTAGAACAAAAATTAAATCAATATCACAATCTAATATCATAAAACACGACTGAGAATTTTATTCATTATAATTCAAAGCATACATCGCAAAGGGTAGATACAGAGTTCATTACATAATTAACAAGTTGCAGAGTACAGTTCAGGAACAAATGATGCCTGAAAAACAGGGGCTTGGAAAAAAAACAATCCCTCCAAGAAGGAAAAGGATTGTCATGGCAGACTCATAAAAAGCTGCCAAGGCCAAAGCCCCCAAACACAAGGCATCAAAACTTTGAACTGCCAAAAGCAACCCAACACAGGACCTCTAGACAAATCAATGACTACGGAACTCTGATCTAAACCCTTTGAGGAAAACATAAGACCCAACCATCACGTACAGAATACAAGTGAAAAAAACGTGAACGACTCGGTAAAACCAACAATCGACAGACTTAGAACTAGGTATGGTAGGAACCCTAAAAGAGCTTGGCCTAAGCATTAAACATAACCAAGCAAAAACAAGAGCTTCCTTACACCTAGCAATACAAAACCAGGACAAATGCGAACTGGAAAGACAACCTAGATCAAGAACCCGGTAGCAATATTCTCAGGGATATATGGCCATTAAGCAACGGCCCTTTACTGAGTGCCAAAATACCAGGAACAGATCTCCAATGATAGGAAACCTGCAAAAAAGGAGTTAATGGCCAATTTCCCTGGAAAAGGGAACCGGGGAACTTGATGTCTAAAGACCCATTGCTGATGGACCCAAAAACTAAATAAGCTGTGGTTACTCACAAAAGCTGACTACGATTCTTGACTTCCTGACTATTCAACCCTCATCGTTGTAGGTGGTGATTCTGATTCCAGAGTGGGCAATTACCCCTTTTTCTTCCCAGCCTAGGAAAGGATATCACAACGCCATAGCTGCTCCACAAGCCGGTCAACAGTGCTGCTGCTGATTGCCTTGCAGTGCTGAAGATTCAAGCCCAGAAGGGTCTGACCCATTTTTACCAAAGCAGGCAAGCTCTTGTCTGACACTAAAGGGCACCCTGACATGGCGAGGATCTGCAGATTTAGCTGGTCTGCACAGGCCAGGGATGCAATTCCAAAATCGGAAATTGCACACCTTGAGACTTCAAGGTCACTAAGCAATGGGCAGTTCCCTGCAATTGCTACCAAGCCTGCATCGCTGATCATCTTACAACCTTCAAGATTTACCATTTCCAGAGTCCAACCATGTAGCTTAGCCATGGATGAAACCACCTTGTCTGTTACATTCACACAACCACTAAGATTAACCTTTACCAGGCCAGCCTCACAGTTCTCAAGTAGTGGGAGAAACCCAGCATCTGTTATACCCTCAAGCCCACTGAAGTCCACATGCTGCAGTTGAGGGCAAAGTCTACCCAACAGTGCCAGGCCAGCATTCCCAAATCCAGGGCAGTTACGAATGGACAATGATCGAAGAGATTGGCATGGAGACACCTCAGGCAATCCTAAGTTCAGGTCTTTAAGTCCCAAGCAGTAGACAAATGCTAGAGCCTTCAATTTTGCACCAGTTGAAAGAGCACCAAAAAACCCATATTGGGTAATCCTGTGGCACTCCTCCAAATGAAGGCTCTCAAGTGATCCTGCTGCTTTGCAAAATGATACCAACCCACTGTCAGAAATGAATAGACATTTGCGAAGGCAAAACTGTTTCAAATTCGGGCAGCCTTTCCCTACTGCTTCAAGCCCGGTATCTGTTACACCTTGACAAGATGTAACAGTGAAGGACTTCAACTTCTGCAGCCCATGACCATTGCCCATGACCCAGAAACCCCTCTCAGTGACATTGGGGATGCTGGTAAGGACAAGATCGGTGATAGCCTTGCCATAGTGTCCAATAACAGCAAGAGACACATCAGTGATGGTCAACGCCTGAAGCTTCACCTTTGTCAAGACATAAGAGACCGAAGATAACAAACTAGCAATTCCCTGATCACCAACAAGAGGGCAGTTTTTGATTGAAATGGATTTGAGATTGGGGCAGCACTGCCCAATAGCTTGAAGACCTTCATTCCCAATGTTAGAACAGGATTCAAGTGATAAGTCAGTCAAATTAGGACACTTCTTTGCAATTGCAACCAAACCTTTATCAGATATTGCAGGACATTGGGAGAGGTCAAACTTCTCTAACATATGACACCGATTAGCAATCTCACACAAGCCTTCATCCCCAATAGAGGACATGTTCCACAAAGAAAGAACCCTCAGAGAAGGACAGCCATGGGATATCGCCCTAAGGCCAAGGTTTGTCACCCCACGACCAGAATTGCTTCCTCGGATTGTAAGTTTTCCCAATCCTCCTCGACTAGCAGTTCCAACGGCAATGGCAGCAAGTCTAACATCTGTTGCCTTCTTCCCTTCCAAGCTCCTGGAAAGATATCCACAACTCTCAACCTCCTGATCCTTATTTCCAGTGACCTCATCCTGAGGGTTCAAAGATAGGTTGGTTGTGTTGCTGCAGAATTCGTCCCTATGGATATTACTTAAAAGTGTAAGCCAGCGCTTGGAAACACAAGCACAGGCACTCCTTTCCTCACCCCCAGGTAACCGTTTAAAGATTTCAAAGAGGCATTCATCTGGTAGAACATCAATAGACACCGGCTTCTTCTGCTCAAAACCTTCTTCACTGAAAACAAATGTACCACTGATGCGAGACCTCTTGCGAGGATTAAAAAAGGCATCCGCATGATTACCAAGGGACAAAAAGAGGCTAGGTTCTTTGGGGTTTGTATAAATAGACCCCCCAGGGCAAAAATCATCATTACCTGTTAACCAAGAACATAATATTAGCATTCATAATATGTTACAAGGCAGGCAGGTAACTGCAAGTAGCGTCAGTTATCTAACATGATACAAATTCCTATATACAGTTTCGCAGTAAACTAATGAAGATCCAATCCAATACATATGCATAGAACATCAAACGAGAAAAGAAAAAAAAATCAAAATTAGATTTTCATTCAAAGCAATAAGCTATTCATATTAAAGATCTCACATCAGATTCATGACGCGTTAATTTAACTTATCCAAAGCAATAAATTTCACCCAAAAAAGGAAAAGATTAAAACTAAAATTAAATACATGAACCAGAAGGCACATCCCATCTCAAGGTTTCAAACGTACAACTATTTTACTTAAGCCTTCAAGAGTCCTAAATTTTTTACAGAAAAATAAGATCCATGACCAATAACAGTTAAATTATCATTTCAAAAATGAAACTGAAATCAGAACTCGTACTCTGAATCATGTATGCACGAATTTCACACAAAAAAACTAGAAAACCCGACTAATCAACCAGCTAGATCATGTCAAGTCACAAAATTTCATCTCTGATCTACAACTATTTAAGGTAAACAGCCTTGAAAGCACAAATTTCAAACAAACCCCCAAATATAGTAAGCCAACAATCTTG